TTTTTTTTTATGACAATTTAAAATTTAAACGTAAAAAAATACTTTGAGTAATTTTTTTTGGAATTTAATATGATCTTTGTCCAGATATATATATTAAATTTGTATTTTATTCTCCAGTTGTTTTAAAAAAAAAAAGGTTTGGAGAAGGAGGATAAAAAGGTTTAAAAGAAAAAAAAAATTTTATTTTTTCCTGGAGAAATTTTTTTGAGGGAAATTTTCTTTTAATTTTTGTTGGAACTCGTTTATCGTATTAAAATCTTCTATTATTATTATTATTATTATCACGTCGGAAAGTATTTAAGAGAGAAATGTTTTATACGAAAAGAGAGAGAGAGAGAGAGAGAGAGAGAGAAAGAGGTTATTAACAAAAGGTCATTGTAAAATTAGTATTATCGTAGTCGTGAAAGAAAGAATCCATATCCAACTTGACATTTAATTTTTTCACCTTATGAAAATGTCATAGAAATTCTAAAAGGGTCGTACAAAAAAAAAACTAAAGGAAAAGACTAACTCGAGATGGAAACATTCCAGTTTTCCCCCTTTTTTCATCCCCTCCTCTCCCCTCCCCTCTTTTATCTCTTACCTTTTTCATTTCCTTTATTGAATTTATTCATTGATTGACTGACTGACTGACTGAGTGATTGACTGATTGACGTTGTATTGATTTAACGATCCTTATTACAACAACAACAACTAAAAACAAAAAAAAAATTTAACGGTATAATAATAATGATGATGATGATGATGATGATGATGATGATGATGATTACATAAACGAAGGAAATTTATTATCATTATTAATAATTAGTAAAAGAAGAAAAGAAAATAAAAATAAAAAATCAATTCGATTTGTGTTAATTAATTAATCAATATTTTTTTAAATTTTTTATTTACGGTAACTTTATTACATAATAATAATAATAATAATAATAATAATAATAATAATAATAATAATAATAATTTAAATAAATATCATTGAAAATCATAAATAATAATAATTATTATTATTATTAACATTTTTATTTATTTATTTGTACTTTTTATCTAAATTTAAGAATATGATTTTTGACGTGGAAGAAGACGTAGGGAAAAAAAAAATGTCACGAGAATATTAAAATTTTTTTTTTATCAAGTTTAATAACTCCTGACACTTTTTTTTAAATTTTTAATTGTTAATTATGTTAATAACTTATTAATACATAAAAAAGAAAAAAAATTAAAAAACAATAACGTGTAACTAATTGTGAAATTTAATACAAAGTGGAAACAAGGGAAAAGTTTTTTATACGTCTATTTATATATTTTTTTTTTTAAATTTTTTTATATTAAACCGGAAATGATGATGATAATAATAAACTCTGACGTCATCGGAAAAGTTTTAAATAAATAAATAAATAAAATGAAAATTCAATTAAGGGAAATTCGGGAAATTCTATAAGAAGATATTTATTTTACTATTATCATTATTAATATTTTTACACATCGAATAAATAATAATAATAATAATAATAATTATCTAAAACAGTTAATAAAGAACTTATGTACATATTTAATAATAATAATAATAATAATATATAACACGTAATTTTTTTTGTTTGTTGAAATGGGATAGGTAGGAATTGGCTAATTTGTTTTTTAATGATTATAAATCACCCGGATGTTTTAAATTTATTTCGTATCGAATATTTGGTGATCGTTTGTTGTCGGATAACCGTTTGTTAAACGGGTCGACCCGTCACCGTTTGTTGTTGTTGTTGTTGGGTGAAGTGATGATCCGCCATTTCTGTGATTCATATTGGGATGATGACCCGTTGATGATGGTAACGGCTGTAATTATAAAAATTACATAATTTTTTTAAATTTTAAAAAAGGCGGTGAAAAGAGATTTTTTCGCGCGTAATACAAACATTGTCGAACTATTATTATTATTATTATTGTTATTAAATATGGCGTAGAAAAGAAAGGAAGAAAAGGAAAGAACAATTAACAACATTTATTTTTTTTTAACATTGTAAAAAAAAAAAAAGATTTAACTTGTCTTTAAAAAAAAAGAACTCGATTATCTTATTTCCGTTATTTTTCTTTTTAAAAACCTTCCGCCCCCGCCGCCGCCACCACCACCACCACCACCACCCTTAACCGCCATTTAAAACTGGGGAGATTCTTTCTCTCATTAGCCGCCCCCGCGGCCGCCACCTCCATCCCCTTTTCCCTACTCTTTAAAATAAAGAAACCATCTATCTTTTTTTTTTTTTTACTTCTCATCCTTTTCGAGGAAAAGAAAGAAAACCCAAAACAAATGTTTTCCTTCTTTTTTCTTTCTTTCTTTTTTTTTTTGTTTGTTGCTTTAAGCGTTTTACTAAAAAAAAATATATATAAAGATCTTAACGGTTTTCTCTCTCCCTCTTTCTCTCACTCTCTAAAAAAAAAATTAAGATGTGCTTCAATAATAATAATAATTTGTAACGGATTTAAAAAAGAAAATTCGATTATTATTATTATTATAAAACGTTTTTAATAATAAATTTTTAGGTTAATAATAATAATAATAATAATAATAATAATAATAATAATAAAGAATTACAAGGATTGTTGTGATGTCATAGATTACAACAAGACGAAACCTATTCATCAGGCATGCAGCATCATCACTGATATTCAGGCATTTATTCCTTGACAGGTAGAAACCTGGAATAAATGTTGAAAACAATCCGACAAACACAAAAAACGAATCGTCGTGAAAATAATAATAATAATAATAAACATAAAGAAATTTGCCGTGAATTAATTACGGCTCTCTTTATTAATTTAATTAATTGTCCCGAAATATTTTTTTTACGTTTTCGTGATAAGCAGTACGAAACGCGCGCCTAAAAAAAAACAAACCATAAAAATAAATGGCGGCAGGCAGGGGGAGAGAGAGAGAGAGAGACAGAAAAAAAATTTTCCAGCTTTTTTTTTTTTTTGCATGAAATTTCGTGAGAATTATGAATTATCCGGAAGAAGGAAATAGATTAGAGGATTGTGTGTGTGTGTGTAAATGATCACCAACTGCGAATTCTCACAATCGACCTCCTCTCACCGCCTTTTCTGATAAATTAGTTTCTATTGCCACGACTCCGACTACCTATCGTGTAAACACATCTTCGGCTAATTACCCTTCTTCCTAATCCAATTGATTACATTATTTTCTCACGTATATTTATTTAGTATAAAATCCATTTTATTTTAAATTTATTTATTTTTTTTTTCATTTCAGATTCAAGATGGAATTTTCTAGATGTTTGTTTTTTACATCAAAATTGAAAAAAACTTATCGTCATTTTTATCCACACACACATACACTCCCGTAAGTAACACAAATAATAATAATAATTCTTTTTTAACTATGTTTCGTGGCACGAACCACTTTTTTTTTTCTTCTTTCGCTTATAATCGTAAACTTTATAATAGAATAACATTTTAATCGTTAAAAAAAAAAAAAAATCGGAAGGGAAAAATAAAAATCGTTAAGCGCGAAAATTACGTCCGGTTAGGGATATTTTATTATTATTATTATTATTATTATTATTATTATTATTATTATTATTATTATTATCAATCAAAAAAAAAAAAAAACGGTAGCAATAACATATTTATAGCCAATTATTGATAAGTTGTGTGTCGTAATTTTTTTTCGAAACGAGAAAACAAAAAAAAAAAAAAAGTCTTTATTGTAAATTAAATCACGTAAAAAAAGAAAAGAAGAAAGTAAAAAACGATGTTTCCGGGAAAAGGTTATATCAAAAGCAAATAAATCAAATTCTTTAAATAAAGCGAAAGAAAAAAAAAAGAAAAACGGAAAAGAGAAAGAGAAAGAGGAAGAGGAAAAAAGAGAGAGAGAGAAGAGAAAAAAAAAAGATTATAAAATGAAAAATCGTAGAAAATTTTTCAAAATCACATTAACCATTTAACCATGGAGGATCTCTTAATTTAAAGAGAGAGAGAGAGAAAGAATTTCTCGTGAGGGATGAAAAAGAGGAAAAAAAAAACAAAGAGGGAGAAAACAAGAAGAGAAAGAGAAAGAAGAAAAAAAAAAAAGAAGGTGGCGGATTTAAACGGAAAGAGGGGGAAAGAGGGGGAGAAAAGGGTAATGTTGTCGTCATCGAATTTTTCCAGTTAAAAAAAAAAAAAAAAAAAAAAAAAAACTTCTTCCGGTTCTTTACACTTTGTTTTTTTAAAATTCGCGCCAAAAAGCGAGAAAAATTCAAACGTTTCCGTTTTTTTTCATCATTGTTACCACCGTTTTAAAATAATTTTTTTTTTTTTTTACGACCAACCATCTATTGCCACCCTTTTAAAAAATAAATATTTACCTCTTTAAAGAATATTATTAAGAAAGTTAAAGAGAGAGAGAGAGAGAGAGAGAGAGAGTAAGAGAGAGAGTGAGAAAGAGAGAGTGAAAGATTTGAGTAAGAAATTAGTAAAATTTTCTTTTTACCCCCCTTTCCCCTTCCCCTTCCCCTCCACGGTACAAATTTAAGGAAAATAGTTTTTCGAAAAATAAGCTTTAATACTATTCTACCCCTCCCCACCATTTTTTTCCCTCCCTTCGCGAGAAGGAGAAGATTCAGCTGCTGTTGTTCTTTTGTTTAAACATTTATTTTCCATTTTTGTTTTTCTATCTTTCCTTTCTTCCTTCTTCGACCTTTTTAAGAAAATGAAACAACAACACCTTTAACTCAATTACAGTCGGCTGTTTAATATGCTTAAGAAAACAAAATATTGTTATGACAACAAACTTATTATTCCTCGAGTAGTTTTCGTTCGAAACGGGTGGGGAGAGGGAGGGGAGGGGGAGGAAGAAAAACAAAAAAAACACGTTTTTAGCTTATAGAAATCATTTCGTATATATAAAATCCATGTTTGTCTTTCCCCGCTTCCGCCCCCGCCTCCACCCCCCGTCGGAAAAGCTTAAATAACAAACATTTTGTTTTCTCATATTAATTTTATAATTTTCTTTAAAAAAATTTTTCCGGTTTTTTTTTTTTTTTTTTTTTAAATTTATCTGGGAAAAGTTTCGAAAAATTTTCACGGATTAAAATTTTCATCGGATGATTTTCCGAAATGAAAAGAAAAGAAAAAAAAAAAAAAAAAGAAAAACGTACTCTTGGAGCCCTTACCGGCGGCGGTAGATGCCTCTTGATGGCAGCTATAGATGGCGGATTATATGCCATATTAGCAAAAACCAATCTTTCTTCGTAATCGTATTCGCAAAGGATTTTATTTTCGCATAGATAAAATCTATCACCGACGCAAAACCTGGAAAAAGAAAAAAAAAACCATTAAAATAATAATAATAATAATAATAAAGAAGAAGAAGAGAAAGAGAAAGAGAGAGAAAAATGAATATAAAATAAAAGAAAAATGGCGGTGAGGGTGAATTGGTGCGAAGAGCGAGACGGAAAAGTTTTTAAAGTTGGTTTAAAATTTAAATTTTTGAATTAAAAAACAAAAGATTTTTCAGGGTGACAAAGAGAGAGAGATAGAGAGAGAGAGAGATATAGACAAAAGTTATAATTCTATAAAATTATATTGTCAAATATTGTTTTTAAAGGAAAAAGTGTGTGGAAAAACAATTGTATTTAAATTTGGCGGTGTTTAAACAAAAACAAAAGACGAGAGAGAGAGAGAGACAAAGACAGATTGAATACACACACACACATAAAGAGTTTTGCGGATAAAAGTGGCAACAGAATAAGTTAAAAGTAATGGAATAGAAAAATAAAACCGGAAGTTTATATTTTAAACGGAAGAGTCGTGGAAAACAAAAGACGTATCAACTTGACATTTTGACAATTTTCATTCCTATTGAGATTTTAAATATTTCGCGCCAAAAAAAATTTTTTTTTGACAACTTTATTTTGATTATTATTTCATATATAAACTCTCGTTGTTTTGTTTTTAAAAACAATCGAACAAACAAACAAACAAACAACAAACAATAAATCCTTACGAGAGTGAGAGAGAAATTCGTTCCACCGGTGGGGGAAAATGGAATGAAAATAATAATAATTATTATCATCACTTTAATATATATGCGCGCGTAAATAATTTAAAAGGAACAAACAAACAAACAAACGCATCGTTTGTTACAAAAAAAACAAAATTTATTAATCGAAATAATAATAATAATAATGGAAAAAAAGGTAATAATTAAAAACAGGTGTTGTAAATTTTCCATGTTTTTCCATTTTCCCCTCCACCCCCTCCCTCCACCGGTCAGGGAGAGAAACTTTGTTGGTAAAGTGTCGTATTTCTTTCGAGTGGGAGACAAGAGGAGGAGTAGGAGGGGGTGTAGGAAGAGGAACATCTCGTAAAAATAGTTAATTATTATAAAAGTCTTCATCGTTTAAAAAAAAAAAAAATAATAAGAAATGCTTGGAGTAATTAAAACCGTCAGTTAAAAATATATATTGTTAAAGATAAGGAGAAGAAAAGATAGTAGTATAAGTAGTAAGTCAAAGTTTTTTAAATGAGGAAACTTGAACGAAACGCCGCCCCCCCACACACACCCTCTCCCCACCTACTTTTATTTTTATCTTTGCGAACGTCAAAAAAAAAAGGAGGAAGAAGAAACTCCGTTCCGAAGAAGAAGAAGAAAAAGGAAAAAATTCTGACATTTTTTTTTTTTTTCATTTAAACGGGTTAAATAACAAACCGCAATCAAAAAAAAAACAAAATGGTGGTTGGCAGAACCAAATTTATCCCCGCGGTTAAAAAAAAAAAAAAAAAGAGGAAAACAACGGATAAGGAAGAGAATAATAATAATAATAATAATTTAAATTTAAGGTAAAATTAAACGAATTCGGGATTTCGGTTTAAAAACGTGGCGATAGGAAAAGTTTACAAACAAAACGAAATTTCTCGTACGTCAATCAATCACAATCAGTTTTAGCGAACGAAGGAACGAACGGTTTAAAAACTTATGAGTTTAATGTTAACGACGGAAATGCAAAAAACAACAACCGCAACAACAACAACCGACAACCGACAACAACCGACTGCACACGCCAACGGTTTATTAAGAAAACTTTTCGGTTAATTTGAAATAGATAAAGAAAAAAAAAAAGAAAAAAAAATTAAATTTTGACGTAGAACGAATATAAAACAAAGAGAGAGAGAGAGAGAGAGAGAGATGGAAAACTTTTACTAAAACGTAATTAATACTGAAACAATCGAATCATATCGTTTTGTCGAACTGCAATAAAAATTTTCACTCGAATTATTATTATTATCATCATCATCATCATTATTATTATTATTATTATCATCATCAACCGTTCGGTATATGCACGAACGAACAGGAATAAGAATAAGACACGTAAAGAAAATAAATAATTGATAAAAATGAAATGATGGTAAAAAAAAAAAAACGAATCGAAATGTAAAAAATGATTTTTACTTCTTCTGCCACGTTTAGGGTGAGAGTGAGTTCCTTCCGCCATAGAGTAACAAAACATAAAAAAAAAAAATTATACAAAATTTTTGAAAATGAACGACACATGTGTAACAGAAAAAAATAACGATAGACTGCAATAAAAGATAAATTTAATCTTTTCGTATGAAATAATATTGAAGAGAGCAGAAGGTCGAAGAAACAAAAAAAAAAAAGGAGGAGGAGGAAGTGGAAGAAGAAGAAAAAGAAAAAGAAGAAAGAGAAAGAGAAAGAAAAGGAAAAAAAGATGAAGAATAATAATAATAATATGTATAAAAAAATAAAATCCACATGTTTAACTTTTGAAAGTTAATACGAATGATGAAGGGGGAGAAGGGTATAGAGGTATAGGAGTCCTTTGGGCCATCCGTCGGAGAGGGGGGGAGGTGGGGAGAAAAGTTTCGTTTAACTTATGCCTAGGGTTATTCAAATTGAATTCCATTAGTATTAAAATCACGTAACAACACTGCCTTTGATTCTTTGATATTTTTTGCCCTTCATATATATATATATGTTTTCTCTTTTTCAACATCGCCCCCACCGCCACCACCGCCGACGCTACCGCCATAGTCACCGCCACCTCAATCGAAACGTATAACAACGTTTTACAAACTTTTCTTTCTAAAATTTATAAATATAATTATTATTATATAAAAACGATCCTTTTTTCTTCTGAAAATGACTAAATTTAATAAGGGAATAAAAAATGGAAAAAGTTTTATTGCATAGGGTTTAAGATAAGAAAAGGAAAAAAAAGAAAAAAAGGAAAAAAAAAGGGGAAAAGGAAAAGTTCTGGAGTATTAAAAACCTTTTAAGGATCTGTTTATTATGTTCATGTCAAGTTTTGACAAGGGTATTACGAGGGACATTGGTCATCATCCTCATTATTCAATATTAAGGATTATTTTTATCGCGAGCCCCCCCAAAAAAATAATAAACCTTTGCCGGATGAAATGGATATTTCCATTTATATTTTTATTTATTTCGAAAAGCGGAAGTGGCGGTGGCGGTGGTGGTGGTGGGGGCGGCGTCGTCGTATGCAAAGTTTATCAAAATATTCGCGCGAAAAAAAAAAAAAAAACCAAATACCGACATTTTTAAAACGGTTTGTTTTGTTGTTTTGATAAATGACGTCACGCGTTACGTAATTTTCCGAGAAATCGAAATTGGAGATGTAAATAATAATGATGATGATTTTGGAATCACCCGCACCGATGTTTAAAGGAATCGGGTGAAAACCTGAAAGAAACCTGGAAAATTATGACGTAGACACCGGATTTAAATAATAATAATAATAATAATAATAATAATAATAATAATAATAATAATAATAATAATAATAATAATAATAATAATAATAATAATAATAATAATGAAATGATAATAATAATAATCGGATCTTTTCTGGGATATTTATTATTATTATTATTATTAGAAAGGAAGGAATTTTGGAGAAGTTTTTTTTGTTCCAAAAGAAAAAGATGAAAAGAAATTTTTTTTTTAAAGAAAAAATCGGGAAAAGGAAAAGTAGCAGTGGTGCCAACTTAAAGTTTTCCACCGGAAAAAGAAATTTAATTTTTTTTTTTCCTGTTTGAAAATTATCCAGGTTTAAATTGTGGAAATGAATTCAACTGGAGAAAATATTATTTATTTAAAATCAATTTTTTTTCGCGGTGACGAATATTAAATAAATAATTCTTATGGAAAATGATGATGATAATAATACTATTATTTTAGTTTTTGTCGTTATTATTATTATTATTATTTTTTTTGACAAAGGAAAATTGAAAATCGGAGGAAGATGGAAAACTAAAGAAAGTTTTTTAAAAGTTTCCTCTTTTTTTTTTTTTTATCGTTTCGGAGGGGGAGGGAAAGAAGGGGAAAGGGGGAGAAGGGGGGGGGAAGGCGAAAGGGAGGGAAACGAATATAAAAACTTTCATCCGCATTACTTTTGTCCTTTTTTTTTTTTTTTTTTTTTGTTTTTGTTGCTTTTGCAAAAGATAAAAGTCGTAAATAAGCTTTTGGAAAACATTTTCTGGAGAATTTTTTTTTTTGGAAAAACAAAAAAAAAAAAAAGGGAAAATAGAAAATAAAAATAAAAAAAAAAATTTCGATAATTATATATAAGTATATAAATAGGAATTTTCATTACCCGTTCGTGTTTCTCCCCCTCCCTCCCCGGACTTCCGGGGGGGGTTTTTTATTAATAAAATGCAACGTCGCTTTCCATTTCCGGTTGAAAATTTTATTTTATTTTTTTCCTATCGCTTATGATTAACACATGATCAAACCCTTCATCGTATAATTCTTACGATTTTCTTCTACGCTTCCCCCCCCCCGAAAAATTTTTTTCGATTTTTCTTTAACTTCCACCCCCAATCCCTTCCTCCCTCCCTTCCTCCCCTCTCGCTCGTTATCATTTTCTTATCTCTTCCGTCGTTTTTTTTTTCCAACCCATCACCCATTTCTCCATCTATAGATAATTTTCACTTAAAACTTTTCTCTATCGAAACGCGAGTGTGTATTTTTTTTTCCACTGGAAATTTTTTTTTTTTTTATTTTCTTCTCCAGAATTTTTCTCCAAAATGAAATAAAATATTTTTTTATTGAGTTTTCCCATCGGTCAAGCTCTATCTGTGCTTTTTTACTCATACATACACATTTCAATATCTAATAATAATAATAATATAAAAAAATTTTTATGGTTTCCCGATCCGTATTTATATATGAACGATGATGATAATAATAATAATAATAATGATGATGATGATGATGATAAAACGTAATAAATTAAAATATATATATAAAATAATTTTGTGAAAAGTTTTAACTAACTGTATAATTTACATATTTGCATGTATTACCGTTATCGTTGCCTTAAAGGTAGACAAAGACAGACAACCAACCAACAACCGACAGCAAACTTTATTATAAGTTGACTTGTTAATTTTGTCAAAGTTGCGACATCTTTTTATTATTATCATTATCATTATTATTATTATTATTATTATTAGAGAGATGATGAATGATATTTTAATTTTTTCCCAAGTTCGTTTCAATTTTACTTTCTTTTTTCCCTATGAGATTTTCCCCCCATCGTATCGTAAGGATAAATAATAATAATAATAATAAATTTTTTTGGGGGGGTGGGAAGGTGGGCTTACCTGTGATTGCATTGCTGACAAGCGAAACATTCTAAATGGTAAACGTTGTGTTTGGCTCTCATGACCATTTCGAATGCAGGTATGACTTTGTTGCAGGCCGAACAATATCCGGTGTTGCCAAATAGTCTCAGGTAATCTCTCTTGCAAAGAATGAGATTAGCTTTTGTGTATAATGTCGAACCGACTTCACCGAGTCTGAAAATAAGAAAAAAAAAGCGGAAATGGATGGATTTTTAAAAAAATTGTTTATAAACCGGAAATGAATCGCACATCTCACCTGCAATCGCAACATCCGCATTTCAAACAATCTTCGTGCCAGAAAAGTTCGCATGCTTTTAAGAAAAATCTATCTGTTATTTTTTTACCGCAACCTGCGCATGCGCAATCGTTTGCCGATGCCGTACCACCATTTGCCGCACCATTTTTTTGTCCTTCGGATTTTATATCGAGCGTCATTTTTCACAAGGCACCTAAAAATAAAACGGATAGAACTGTAATCGTCGCTACGTAAATTAAAAAAGGAGAGAAGAAGAAGGAGAGAAGAAAAAGGTTGTAAAAAAGGTAATCGAAGGCCATTTATTTGTAGTAAAAAGGTTTTTTTGGGGGGGGGGGCGGTGGCGGTGGTGGTCACCGACGCGAAAAATACACTTTTGACCAAACGATTTAATATACATCAAACCACCGCACATTCGTTTCGTTAAGTTAAACATTTATCAAAGGATTTTAAATTTAATTTGAAAAAAGATTTATGTACACGAATTTATATTTAAATCTCATTGCCCGAATGTGGTAAAACCGGAAGGAGGGGGAAGGAAAAAAAAAAAAACGGTCGGAATTGGTAATCGAAACGCAACAACAACAACAACCACTTTTCCCCTTTTTAAAGAAATAAAAAGAGAGAAAATTATTAACGTAAGATAATCCCATCGTTCGAGAGGAAGAGAGATAGAGAATAAATAATTTAAAATTACCACCAGGTGGTAAAAGTAATAAAAAATACAAAAATGGACAAAAAAAATGGGAAAAGTTAATTACGCGCATATATGGCATATTAGAAGAGGATTTTTTGGGTGGAGAGGACACGCACGCACCCCCCACCCACGCACGCACTCACGCACGCACGCACGCATCGGGGAGATAAAAAAATAAATTTTAACGTTGGTACGTTTTAACTCGTAACGCAAAAGGGTTTAATTACAAATTAGTGTAAGCTGACCCATTCATTTAATGTCTTCTCTCTCTCTCTCTCTCACTCTCTCTTTCTGTCTCCCTCTCCGCCGCCACTCTCTCCTCCCTCCCCCGGAATTAAATCGTTATAAATGACTTTGGAAATCCGATTTTCTTAACCCTGGATTAACGAACGTTTTTCATTGGTCGAACGAAATTTTTTTTTTTCTTTTTCCCTCCCGCCCCACCCCCCCCGTACTAATAATATTCAAATAATAATAATAATAATAGGTAATTGTAACGTCGTTAACTTTACTTTATCTCGCCGCTGGTGGAAAAATATTCTGGATACGGTACTGAATTTAAAACGGAAGTTGAAATATAACAAAAAAAAAATAAAACAAACGAGTTGAACTGTAAATGCTGGTTGTTGTGAGTGTGTGCGGTTAAAATGTCAAACACATCCTGTTCTATAAAAATGGTGGACAGTTATAAACTTGAAAATAATTACAAAAACAAAACAAGGAAAATTATTATAGAGGAGAAAAAAAAAAAAAAGGAAAATTCCCCCCCCCCGACTGCTCTCCAGCAGAGATTCCAGCTCCAGTTTCGACTCTTACCAATTTTTTCCAGTTAATTTTTTTTAAATTTGCGTTCGGGAAAAAAAAAAAAGGAAAAATTTTCCCGATTGTATGTGTCGTCGTTTGTTCGTCAATAAATGAAACAAACAAAAATTCAAATTATTATTATTATTATTATTATTATTATTATTATTATTATTATTATTATTATTATTATTATTATTATTATTATAACGAACGTTTGGAAAAGGTTAAACTCACGTGATTAATGTGGAAAAGTTTCGAATTTCCAAAAAAATAATAATGATAATAATCGATACAACCGGAAGGAAAAAAATGAGAAGAGGAGAGCAGTTTGACGGAGGAGGAGGAAATGGAGGGGAAGCTGAAGAGAGAGAGAGAGAGAGGGGGGGGAAGAGGGGAGGGGATCAAATCAAAATTTTAAAAAAATAAATCAAGAGAGACGGGGAGAAGGGGGGAATAAATAATGATAATGATTTTATAATAAGGTTTCGTAGAAAAAAAACGAAAAGGTTTGGTTTGCTACGGACCCGGACCGGGACCGGACCGGACCGGACCTTCGTACAACCTTTTCTAATGCTAACATTATTCATGATGAGAAAAACAAACGAAGGAACGGTCGGTCGGTCGTTTTAAAACGATTAGAAGTTAAAATGACCGCGAGGATTACTTAATTCAACATCCTTTATTATACGTCAGTTTATATTTTCATCTCTCTCAGAATTATTCGATTATCTCTTCCTCCTCCCTCTCTCCTCCCCCTTCCTCCTTCACCCCACCACCCCCGACTTTCTCTCTCTCTCCGCGAGAGAAAATTTCCACTTATAATCCGTGTGGTGGTGCGACATAATAGGTGGGATAAAAAAGGAAAAAAAGGAGAAAAAATTTCGACCGGAAATAAAATACACGTGCGAAAATAAATTTTAATGACGTCATAGAGAATTTTCTTTATTTTTTTTCCGGGGAGGGGCGGGGGGGAGAGGAGAGGAGCGGTTTTCGGTTGATTTTTGTTTTGTTTAAAAAAAAATCAAAATTAATAAAATTTTAATGACGATGATGATGATAACGCGAACGAAAAAACCTCAAAACGATATTTATAAAATCCTGGTTCTCTCATTTTTAACCGTGGCCCCCCATCTCACCCCCCGCGCTCCCCACAAAAATGCATTTTCAACCATATAAAATTGATTAAAATTATAAAAGGGGAAAAACAATACAAAAAAAAAACAAAAAGTGCATTCGTACGTATAGATTTCGATTAATTGCGTGCATACAAAAAGAGAGAGAGAGAGAGATTGTTAAAAATGCACAATCGGTTGAGAGAGAAAGAGAGAAAGAGAGAGAGAGAGAGGATATGATAGCGGTATGAAAAGAAAAAGAAGGGAAATAGAAAATGGGAAAAAAGGTGAAAGTCATATTTTACACCTCACTGTTAAAAGTTATTGAGTTAGTGCGTTTGTCGTCCTGTTGTTTGTAACCGTTTGTTGTAAGTTTGTTGTAATTTATCCTCGTAGTGGTGGTGGTGGTAGTGACAACAACAACAAACTCTTTAACCGTCCGAACAATGTGTTACTTTTGTAAAATCGACAAAAAAAAAAAAAATTCAACTTTGTCGTATTCGTCGTGGAACTAGTAGTAAATTCTAATAGTATTTTTCCCTCTTCCGTTTATTATTATTATCATCATTATTATTATTATTATTTCGCAACACGTTTCCATTTCCCTTTTCTTTCTTTCTTTCTTTCTTTTTTTGTCGCTTTTTTTTTGCTGTCGATTCGAAAAGTTTTGACTCGAATTTTAATTCACTACAATTTGATTAAGTGTAAAAAAAAAAAAAAAAATTTTTTTCGGAGAGGGGGCAAGGGTAGAAGGAAGGAGGCGTGAGGTTGAAAGGGGCGGGGGTTTAAATAAAGCGTTAATTAAAATCCATTTAAAAAAAAAGAAAAAAGTAATTAAAGAAATATGGCGGCGACGAAAAAGAGTTTACGAAATCGTTAAAAATAATAAAATGATAATGATGATAATAATATGGTAATTTCGTCGTTTGTCGCAATTACGATGAAGAGGAAAAAAAATCGTGGAAGAAGATTTTTGTCGTTGATTTTCATCCCAGTGGAGGTACGATGTGAAAAGGAAAATTTTAATATAACCGGAAACGAACGTAAAAAAATCAGGAAGAAGAGTAGGAGGAGGAGGAAGAGGAGGAAGAGAAGGGGAGGAGGAGGAGGATGGAAAGAGTTAAAAGTCGGAAGAATTTGCCTTAAAGGTTTTAAAGTATCAGGAAAAAGAGTCTCAACGTCATAAAGGAAATAGTTTTGTCTTCGATATGAAATATTGTAAAATTATGAAAGGAGAGAAGGAGGGAGGAGGAAAGGATTAAGGACACAAAGGAAAAGTTTAGGGAAAAGGTTTCGATAAGTAAAAATTCCAAACGCTTTATCGGAATGAGTCCCCGAGGGGTACACACACACACACGGAAACAAACAAACAAACAAACGGCTGTCATTATCGACTGTCGTCGTATCGAGAGAGAGAGAGAGACTTAAAAATCAAACGACGACATTCGTATACAAACGAATTTTCCTTTGACTAAAAGGACAAAAAGGTTTTGTTTGTTGCGGTTCGTCGTCCTTTTTGCGAGAAAACCTTTTTTTTTTTCTCCAGGAGCGTCGTTTCGTTCGTTTTTTATATAAAAATGGCGTCCTCGGTCTCGCGTCGGGTTTTTATTATGACGTCATATCTCTCCTTCTTTTTCCGTTTTTCTTTCGATGATTTAAAAGTTCAAAGTTCAAATTCACCATTAAAATAATAATAATAATATTAAATAGTCGATTGTTAGTTATAACTGACAAATCCACGTTTTTTTTCTTTTCCCAACAGAAAACTTATTGAATAATTCATTTTTAATCGTTCTAGAATTTTCTTTTTTTTTTTTCATCTCATTTGAGGTTAAAAAGAATGAGAGAGATAGATAGAAAGAGAGAGAGAGAGAGAGATTCCAGTTTTTTTCCAGTTTTTTTCCATTTCAATTTTATAATAAAAAAAAATTTCTTTTAAGAGAACGAAAGGTGACCGAACGAACGAACGATTTGAAAAATGACGGTTTTTTTTTCTCTCTCTCTCTTTCTCTTTCTTCCTCCTCTTCCTCTTCCGTTTACTCTCGGTGACAAATCTCTGTTATGCAGCATCCCTTTTTTTTTTTTTTTTTTCTTTCTCTCTTTAATTAATTTACATGTTACAACCATTTTTCAAGTGGGCAGCATTGTGTGTGTCTGTGTCCATTTCATCCTTTTTTTAAAACTTGCTGCATCCTTTCCACTCTCTCTCTCTCTCTCTCTTTCGGTTTTATGTTTTTCTCTTTTATTTCCTTTTTTTTAGTTTTTTATGTTCGTGACACCGGACGCGGACGCACGAGGTTGTTGGTTTTTTTCTTTTTATGCATAAAAAACCCTTATACCGGTCATTTATTTCTTTACCGTTTTTTTTCCTATTGTAAATGAGAAATTCCCTTTAGAATGTCGGGTCGGTCGGGTCGGGACGACCTTTTGTTTTTTAGTAACAAAGATGATGATGATGATGATTTCCCCACCGCCGTCACCACCTCCGCCCCCACCACCACCACCACCGCAGCCATTTTTTTTCTTTCCTTCTCTGAAATCGTAATTAAACAAATAACAATAATTACGG